CAGGAGCGCAGGAGCGCAGGAGCGCAGGAGCGCAGGAGCGCAGGAGCGCAGGAGCGCAGGAGCGCAGGAGCGCAGGAGCGCAGGAGCGAAGGAGCGCAGAAGCGAAGGAGCGCAGGAGTGAAGGAGCGCAGGAGCGAAGGAGCGCAGGAGCGAAGGAGCGAAGGAGCGAGGGAGCAAAGGAGCAAAGGAGCGAGGGAGTGAAGGAGTGAAGGAGCGGAGGAGCGAAGGAGCAAAGCAGTGAAGGAGCGAAGGAGTGCAGGAGCGAAGGAGCGCAGGAGTGAAGGAGCGCAGGAGCGAAGGAGCGCAGGAGCGAAGGAGCGCAGGAGCGAAGGAGCGAAGGAGCGCAGGAGCGAAGGAGTGTAGGATGTAAGGAGCGAAGGAGTGGAGGAGTGGTGGAGTGGAGGAGTGGAGGAGTGGAGGAGTGGAGGAGTGGAGGAGTGAAGGAGTGAAGGAGTGAAGGAGTTAAGGAGTGAAGGAGTGGAGGAGTGAAGGAGTGAAAGATTGGAGGATTGGAGGAGTGAAGGAGTGAAGGAGTGAAGGAGTGTAGGAGTTAAGGTTAGAGAATTACCTTATTACCTTCAGCCTGAAAAATCTCTGAATCACAATGATATAGTGATGTTAGGAGTTTTATTCTTCCTTGTTTTAAATGATGAATCGTTCAATGGGTTTTTGATAACGCTGGTTGTAGGAAACTAACTTACAAATTAACGGAAGACATGGGTTTAGTTAAAACAGAAATAATTAATAAAGTATCTAGTTATAGTGCGTTTTACAATGAGTTGTTATTAAAATTGATTACGTTTAAATTCTCGGTTTAAGATCGAAATCAAAGATTCCTAGAAATCGAGTTTTTAATAAATAGCTGGAGAGTTCAAAAACATAGGCAAAGTCCAAAAATTAAACTAAATGATCTTCAGTAACAAATATTTCTTATTCTGGTTACCCAGCTTAATTTACACGACAGAATGAAGGTCTGGTCAATGGACAGTAAATTGAAGAACACAGTCAGTACTGGCGATAAGCTTCCCATACAACTTAGAATAAAGAATACAACGTTTATTAACTTACCGAAATCTGGATAGAGTAAAATAATCCTGTTGAAAATTAGACCGAGTCGTTTAACCTTAGTCTAACAGCTAGGAGAGTTCACACACAATGTTCTTTTCTCGGCTAAAGTTCGCAGTTAACAAAACCTGACGTTATTTAATACGATGAGATGTAGGCTTGCTATTGGTTGGTGATGACTTGGGATATATGACCACTGACATTAAGTGACCGAGTTTCTAATGTGATGACCTAAAAGTGAAAGACTATTGGCTATTTTATGGTTAGTCAAATTTCACTCCAGCGCTGCAGGTCTGTGACCATTTTGTCGTGCACCTTTTCCTATTTTTTTTCGTTTTCTTCGTAACCTTTACCTCTAAACCAACAAGATGACGGGAGGGGGAAGGCTAGGTGACTCCTCTCCGCCTTTGACGCTTTAAATAACAGTGCTCCAATTGGCTGACTTTCCCAAAATTCATCTAGGAACAATCTGATGTAGACATTTATTTCTCACTTATAAAGCCTTTCGCATGGAAAACAAAATCTTTAACACCGTTCAGTCTAGTTTTCATCCGTTATTGCTTTCCTTAATTTAAGCTTCAATTGCTTAAATTGTTTTAATATGAAGTTGTAGGTATGCTCTATTGCTGACATTACTTAACAAATTTGAATCAGGTGTACGTGTAGAGGTGCCCATCAGTCCCAGCACGCCCAAAAAAAACCCAAGTCTAAAAGGGTTATTTTTTCGTGACATCTCTAAAATTGGAGACGAATTGACATGCCTTAGCGATGAGAACATCCATAGAAATCTATGTAGACCGCATGCAGTATCTTTCGTTTCCTAGTGTGCGATGGGAAAAAACGAATGCGATCATATCGAGCAAAAAGCGAGCGGCAACCGATGAAGGAAACGCCCCTTGCTTTATTCCCTCTTCCTTCTTTCTCTCATTTGCATATTTTCGACTTTTGCCTTCGCGCGTACGATTTTCGGCACAAAAACCGAGTGCTAACAACGTAAAATCTGTTTGAAGGAAACATTAAACGATCTAATTATCACCCAAGTGTCATCTAGTGGCAGTCAACTTCAAGCTCTCCCTCTGACTATGTAACAAATTGCAGTAATATTACTTACAAAATTCTCTTTTCAAAGTTCTTTCTATATTCTGAGCTTTTTAATTTCTATGGCTCAGTCAGAACCATTGAGAGGTATCCTAATGAGATAATAGATGTAAACTAATGTTCCTAGTTCGCTGGTGTCTACTGTACCTATGTACTGCTTTGTAATCCAATAAATAATATGAATCTTGCCGTCACGAGTATAAAATCGACTTTTTCCAGAATAAACTACTTGATAATCAGTTAAAATTGCAGTTAGACAGCGGTGTGGCTGTTAAATCGCTTTCCACAATGGTATCTAGGTCGTCGATTGCCATCTGTATATCCTCTAAAACCTTAGCGAAATTTGGGAAATTTTTCTTCGTGGCTTCCAAATTTTGCCACATCTGCTGTCGTTTCTTATCAACGTAAGGAGTAATATAACTGTGCAGGAAATGGGACCAACCTCTGCTCTTGAAGTAATTTACAAGTGCTTGTGAATAATCAGTATTTTCTTTGGTACACCCAGGAAAAAGCTTAACGATTACGTTGCTAGCGCGGTCGATTAGTTTCTGACCTTCTTGTCTTTGCCGGTGAAAACTATTGAAAATGTAATCCTCATCATAGTTCTTGTTTGTCCAGCAGGTGCTTAAAGTCAAGGATTTGGCACCAAGAAATTTTTCCAAAGTGTCGAGGTTGTAAAACCCTACAGAATTCTCGTGACCGTCATTCTTAGCCACAACCGAAAACGTCGCACAATTTCCTGTCAAGTCATAGCATGCGCCCGCAGTCCACATGTACGCTGGAATATTTACTTTGTATTTCGTATTACAAAAAATATTTCCTTCCCTGCAAATGTCGGGGTATGTATTTTTTGGCATTTTGTCCTTTTCCGTGTCAACATCATGCGCGTTATAGCCTAGATACATTTGTGAGGGCACGGTGCCAGTAAATAGGTAAGTACTCTTGGGGTCGCATTTTTTCCCCACAAACTGGTCCCGAATGGCGATTTCTGCCAGTCGCCAGGCTTTTTGATTGAGATCAGAAAATTGTGGCACTATATTGGTGTAAGTGAGACTCGCTATCATTCTGTTGACATTGTTGCTGTTCATCCCTGCAAAGAGAAGATTTAGAGGTCACAATAAACATGTAGATGTATTAAGAAATGGATTGGCCGTTCAGCTTGATGCCTTTAATGCTTTAGGTCTTTTGTTAAAATTTCCAAAGGGTGAAACAACTTTGTTGATGGCTTGACGGGGGGTGTCAACTCTACAAAGGCCTGTTTCGGAAGAAAAACAAAATTTTTCCGAGAATCTGAAGATTTTGCCCGGAATCGGAAGACTCGGGGAAAATTTTCGGGAATCATAAAGTAATGTCTCAAGCATGTCTCAAAAAAGTCGGGACGATGCTCGAAATTTTCGGCAGGACTTTTGTTTACACTGATAGTTCACCACTAAATTTTCTCCAACTCTTATTGGTTTAAATTGATCACTTGATGCGATAGTGCCCATCCGCGGACAGACACTATCAGCCTTTATAGTTCTTATTAGTTTGAACTGATCACGTGACGCAATAGTGTTCATCTGCGGAAAGACACTATCAGCCCATAGTGCTCGTGCGAGGAAAATGACCGGATGGATAGTACTCGTCCGTGAAAATGTTTCTGTAAAGAAGCGGGCTTACAGAAAGTAAACAGTTGAAATATATTAAGAGGGTTTTGTCTGTTTTCTTTTTCAAATTTTACATTTGGCTTTAACGACCTTTCACGGCTTTCATCTAAAAAAGCTGAAAATAATTCAAAATGAATTTTGAACTAGCGCGCGGAAGAAAATTTAGTGGTGAACAATAAAGACAATAGAGTGTTTATGTCTCGGAA